AGATATAGTATAGAGAAAATAATTTATTATATAGCTATATTATTGTCATACAAATAAATCTGTATCTTATTTAAATATTATTTTAATATCGTGACAATAATATTAAGATATAGCATCAAGAAAATAATTTATTATATAGCTATATTATTATCATACAAATAAATCTGTATCTTATTTAGATTTTATTTTAATATTGTAGTGATATTATAAAGTACTTAGCACGATATAGTATAAAGACTATCTTACGAAATAACTATGCTATTGTAATATTTAAATAACATCAAATCTTTATTATATATTGCAGCCCTTACTGATTGTGTTTCACCTATACCTTTAGTTGTGATTACTAGTTTTAACACAAGATCGACTACTAATATCTCAATATGAAAAGTTAAGTTAGCTTTATTTTAGCATTTTTACTTGATCGTAAATAAAAGGTAAATTTTTTAAATTTTTTTTTTATATTCTTTATATATATAAAGTTTGACTCTAACTAATTTACTTATTTGACTTTTGACTCTTAATTTATTCGATCAATGATCATGATCGATTCATGTGATCATGAGACCGACACGAAACTAATTCAAAGTAATAAGTATTGCACATTGCTATTTTTATTTTTTTTAATTAATTTTAACTCTTTTTTTAATTCAGATAGATACTCTTTAATTGTCACACCATGCATCATATATCTTGAGTACCAACCTTTGCCGCAAACCTGATTTTAACCGTAATATTATATATAGTGAATAAAATAATAGAAACATGATAGTGTGGGTATAGATTAATGAATAATTCAAATATCTGTAAGATATATTTGAACTACTATCATGCTAAAATACATCTTACAGATATTTGATTTATTCACTGATCTATACCCATACTATTGTATTTTTATTTTTTTAATCACTATGATTTAATAATATATATATTTATATAGACTTTTCAAAAGTTTAATTACAAAAAATATTTTTGTACAACTACAGTATTATAATCAAATATTATATTGTAATTAAAATTAAGTTTTTTAAATAAAATCCTGATTTTACTATAAAATTAAATTTTAAAAAAAAATATAAAACAAATTATTCGATATATATTATTAAATAATTAGTTAATATTCAAAGATACTAATACTGAAGATAATATGAAGACAAGAAAATCTCTGCATGAAAAAAGTACTACTCCAAATGAAACATCTGCTGGTAAAAAAATGTATTAACATATAAATTATAATAAAAATATTTACTTATTTTATATCTAATAGATATAAAGAAACAATCAACTAATAGTAAGTGAGGTAGAAAAAAAGAAAGTATCAAATAAGCAAAAGGTTTCTCAGCAGGATGGTAAGAAATATATCTGCTATATTTTAAAAGTATTTATGTATCTTATATTTCCTATATTTCTTGAAGAAATTGAA